TCGACAAGATAACCCTGAGTAACGCGGGCATTGATCTTATGGGCTTCCGATCACTGAGTGCTAACAACGACCACAAGGAACTTACCTTTGAGGAATGACTTGATAATTGTGAAAGCCCTCCCCACTAGAGATTTCATAGCTGGAGGGTTTATGTATCAACCCCCGAGGCTGCACCTTGCGAAAAACCTTTCATATATCTAGCAATTATTCTTGTGATGGAATTATTGTCTAGTACCTCACTGATTCTGTGAATAGCAACAGTTAAGACACCAACTGTGAATCTAGCAGGGTGAAATTTATACTGGTTATTGCTCAGAAAGTTGTTCCTGTGGAGGTGTTCAAGAACTATGATTATGATGTTGATTTTCCACACTACTTTAAACAAAATCCTAGGAAGTAAACGCTGATAAATTCTAGGGAAAAAGTGATAGCAGTAGACTTGAAAACGCTATTAGCTTGTAAAACATTTCTAAGAGAAAAATATTTATAAATAACAACGCTAACTTTTCAGTTAACGAAAGTCTATTTTTTTTTATAAAAAAATCTAAATATTAATAAAAATAGTCGATGATTAGAATATAGCTGCCATGGGTGGTCTGGTACCCCTGCTATTTACATTGAACACCTTGATATAATCCAAAGAAGAATCAGCAATATTATTGGTCCTGACCTGGTGGCTCGGCTTCAGTCACTTTCCTATGGCTGCAATGTTGCATCTCTGTATCTTTTTTATAAATACTTTCATGTTAATACTTCGGATGGTTTCTTCGCTATAGTACCTAGATTTTTTTAAAATTTAAGCACAGTACTAAATGGCATCCATTTTACAGGTTGATCTGGTTGCACATAGGCCGTAAGTTCTATGCTAACATGTACTTTTCTCTCAGTCCTGGCTTGTGGGATTTCCTTCCGGCTCAATGCTTTCCAGCCAACTACAGTCAACAAAAATTTAAATGCAATATCAATGGTGTTATGGTCCGGGATAGTCCAAGGTAGAACCAATAAAGAGGAACTCGAAGGCGGATATGGAATAACACAGATATATTACAAACAGGAATATATACAGAGAGGAAGAAAACTGTTAGTACGAACAATCAGGTTTTGTAGTAATTGTCTGAACGCGACTTAGTTTCGGACTGCCTCTGACTCGACTGACTGACTCGCTCTGACTGACTGACAGAGACGGACTTCACTCCAGTCTTCAGAACGAACTCCAGACTTCAGACGAAACTCTCAGACTTCCTCTTGAGGCGTAGTATTTATTACGTATGGAATAGTCCATGATGTTCTTATGGGTAAGGTCACATAAGAAATGGCTATCAACTGTACTCCGGAATACTCTTCCTGTTCATTATTTATTTTTCCCTTCCTAGTTTTTCCACACCCTGTAACGTCTTGTGTCTTAGTGGCTTTACTGCCTTGCATGGGGTGATAACGATAACAAAATATAAACGTTAACATTTTTGTCAGTCTTTCAAATGGAGTAAGTAGTGATGCTTTGAAATGTCCCTGATTTTACATAGCGTCGAATCCTGATTACGAACAAAGGTGAGAAATTCCTCACACGCTCTTTTATTAAATAGGCGGTTTTAATTAAGAAAACAGCTCTAAAACAAAAGCGAAATAACCAGAACATGGCGTTTTCTTTCTAGTTTCTGTTCTGATTAAATATATTAATCTTTACAAGTGTCGGATCAAACTGAAAATAAAGGGTGTTTCATTAAGACGGATTATATATAAGGGTGTTTCATTAAGACGGATCAAAGTCTGTAGTAAATAAATCAGTGTTATTGGTGAAATTTTATTTATTTCTCTATGGGATCATGATATTTAAGTTATGACAATCATGTGTGAAAATAATATCGCCCAAATATCCGCCAAATCTAAAAGAAAAATCATTAGACGCTTAAACTTAATTTGCATTTAAAATCGGTCCAAATTATTGGAACACACTTTATATTCCCACTGACATTTGTAGCTGCTTAATCATGACTTTCGAGCATTGAAAGGGTTAAATATCGTTTCCTCAATCTTTTGGGGAGAAGACATATTCTCAACTGTGCAGACGCCTCCCCACAGACGCAACATTGTATTTCTGTCACTATTCTATCGCTATTTCCATGGAAAATGTTCAGATACGTTCATTTCATTTGTCCCAACTGTTTAGACCTTTACAGCTAGGAAATTCTATGCTACTTTCAAGGAGTCATATCATCCCCATACCATCACTGGTGTTCCAAATGTAAGAAAAAAATTCCACTCAGATTTTCCCTAAGAAACTTTATTTTACGGAGGACATTTCTTCATGGTTGTTTCCTTGAACATTTCAATCATATTATTCAAGTCAAGAATCTATCGTTATCTTTGATTAGTATCATCATCATTTTCATTTCTTACCACCTTTTCTATTCATATCATATAGATAACTCAGCATGGAGATTTTGTAATTATCTACCTTGATTGGCTATCGAGTCTTGTGTTGGATGAAATTTTCTTTGTTGTTGTGCACGTATTAACGAAGACAGTACACCGACAAACACCCACAGAGAAACACACTTACACACTCATATATATATATATATATATATATATATGTGTGTGTGTGTGTGTGTGTGTGTGTGTGTGTGTGTGTGTGTGTGGCAACTGCTCGGACGATTCTTTTTACCCTGGTTCCACGACTACAAGAATTTAATCATGTTACTAGGTTGGCAACTAGGTCTCATAGTTTTACTGCTGAACTAGCCAAATGCAACCGCCAATTTAGATGCAACCGCCTCTCGAACAGTTCTTTTCTCGCACCTCCTACCTGTCAAACTCCTTTCCGATTTCTTACTTCCCTGATAGCTACAATCTTCAAAAATTTAAATCCAACATCAATCGTCATTTTCTGTTTTCTTGAACGTCGTTTTTTTTTGCCTTTTCCTCAATCATCTCCACTAGTCTTCTCATTTTATTTCATTCGCTGGTAACCGCTGGGATGAAGCGATTGAATATATATATATATATATATATATATATATAGATAGATAGATAGATAGATAGATAGATAGATAGATAGATAATATTGGAAAATATACATACATATGCAAAATATATATAAAAATTCCCATACATGTATATTTTCAGAAAAAAAAAAAAAAAAAAAAATTCAAGAGGAAGGATCCAGGTAGAACTCAATGTCCAGGACAGAGTAAGGATATAATAAAAAGGTTTAAACACTAATATTCCATGGTCATAATTTATTCCATTGAATCGTAAATACGATCAAATCATCAGACCTACAAATTCAAAAAATTTTGAATTTGTAGGTCTGATGATTTGATCGTATTTACGATTCCAATGAATAAATTATGACCATGGAATATTAGTGTTTAAGTTTTTTATTATATATATATATATATATATATATATATATATATATATATATATATATATATATATATTAGTGTTTAAGCCTTTTATTATATATATATATATATATATATATATATATATATAAAAAAAGCTTAAACAATATATCCATGGTCATAATTTATTCCATTGGAATCGTAAATACGATCCAATTCATCAAATATAAATACCAATATATATATATATATATATATATATATATATATATATATATATATATATATAGATATATATATATATATATATATATATATATATATCTATATATATATGTTGGACTCTCTCGTCGTTTTCGACGTATGAGCGTTAAGCATCTCAGTTTTTAGAACATATCATTTGATTATAGTGGTGAGGGCTTACCAACCACAATTTTTGTAAAAGCCGAATAAAGAGAACAGGACATTCACTACCCAAGGCTGGATGGTTTCATACCTTTCCATCGTATATTAGCATGTGAATATAATGAACCCAACTGGAATTCGAACTTGGCCATACGATTGCTTTATCCAAGCTACTACCTATTACACCCACATATACTCCTCCGTGCCTCCATATTACCGTACCCCAAATACACCACCGTGCCCTCATATACTACACCGTACCCCATATACACAACCGTTCTCGCATAAACTCTAACGCGCCCCTATATACGCCACCGTGTCCTATATACTCCATCGTGGCCCCATATACTCTACCGTTCCCCATAAACAATACCGTGTCCCCATATACCACACCGTACCCCATATACACAACCGTGCTCACATATACTCTAGCTTTCCCATACATACATACCGTGCCCTATATACTCCACAGTGTCCCCATATATATATATATATATATATATATATATATATATATATATATATATATTTATATATATTTATATATATATACGTACGTATGTCTGTATAAAACAAAACAGCAAGAAAAGATAATTTAGACATTTTATATGCTAATGTTAAAAATTCGTAGCAAGTCCCGAAAAAACTTCATAAAGTTCTTTTAGGTTTCCTTACCTGTTTAAATCTGCGGACATCGAGGCATGTCGCACGGTTTGTTGCTGCCCGCAAGTGCAGTTTGGGTCGCATGGAAGACTTGTCTTGAAGACGAAATCCTTGCCTCCCTCGTATCCCGAATTACGATTCAGCTTGACGCAATGGCCTCAATATAGATCACGGCCTGGTGGACGATTTTAATTGGCTGTCATCCTTCGTCCATATTGACAGCCACAAGTTGTTCGCTGCCAACATTTCACGAGAAATTCCAGCGCCTTGTTCAACAAGAGACCAGCAACAATGATTTTCACCTGATCCGTCTTGTAAGTAACCGAACAACAGCAAAAATAATGTCAACATTGAAACAAACATTGCAGCCAGGACACGTCACGCTACTTCTACCGAATCAAATCATCTTCATTTCAAGAATTGGTATTTTGTGTAAGTGGTTCCTACGGGGTTGCTTTCCTGACAATTGCATTATTAAACTACTCCAAATCCAGGGTCAATCATCATCTTTCCTTCATATCATTTTAATAATTACTTTTTACCACTTTCTCTTCCATTCATAGCACACGCAAAACATGCAGGCTTACTGCCATATCACGTTGAAACACCGGTTCCGCGTACAATCACCGAAGTTAAGCAACGCCAAAACTGGTCAGTACCTAGATGGGTGACTGCTTGGGAATACCGGGTTCTGTAAGCTTGGATGTTCGGCTGGTGTAACAAATAATGACGGAGAGCCGAATTCCAATTCCAGCAGAGGTCATTATATTCATTTATTCACAAATACTATTGGGAAACGTATGAATTCTCCCCCAGTTATGGGTTAATTAGGAAGACTTGTATCATTAAATAATAATTATCTCAAAATCTTTTGCAATATAAAAAAAAAAATATTTTTCTGGTTTTAAATAGCCTGTAAAGCATTGATAAGCCGTAAAAACGAATCAATGAATCAATCAATAAAAACGCCTAATGCAGATTTTACTGGCTGTAATCATCTACCTTGAGTTGTTCTCGAGCCTTATGCAGTATGAAATTTAGTATAAAACAGTTTATGGCAAGGAAACTATGTTTTTTGTTTTTTTTTACTCTGGCGCCATACGGGCTGCTTACATCGATTTGATGTCTCGGTTTTTCTACCAGCCAGAATTAAAACGATGCCAATAGCTTAAATGAAGATAACGTTTTTGGCGCCTTCTTTATCGGCCTTTAAATAGTATTAATCTGTGCAAGAGGAACTGGAATAGTTTGTTTTAGAAACCCCTTCGACAATTTACCTATATGGCTTCTCCTTGGTGGTGGCGACGTGACCGGACGGAGTCAGCGGTCAAACCACACGGATTACTTACAACCATAATTGTATGTTTAGCCTAACGCTCGCTTTATGCCAAATGCAAATACAGCGATTGGATTCGAATTATAGATAAGCGTTGGGGTTTGATATATTTATATGTTTTCTTCCCTCTTCTTCTCCCACCCCGGTTGCACACAAACGTTTCTCAAGGCATTAAGATAGATAACTCGATCAATGCAAGACAAACTTAATAACTCTCTTATTAACGGATGTACTTAAGAGGAGAAGCAAACATAACAACGAATGCCATTAGACCGAAAACTGGCTTCTCCGAAGTCATTATATCAAATCTTCACTTCATCGAATGGTTCAAAAATCAAACATTAGAAAATTAAAGGGAGATAAATTTTATATTTGAGTAGGGCTTTTTATAAATTATAGTTGATTTAGTTATTTTTTTTAATGACATATCAACTATTTATGGGTCATTTACTGCCGAAGTTTTATTTTCTTTGGGAGCTTCGAAGGAATATATGTTGTTATGCTTTCACAATTAGATGCATGGTAGATTATGCTCAGTTTGAGTATATACATGTTTGTGTGGAGATAATTGCTATTGGCTCTGATTTTTTTTTTTTTTTTTTTGGCGGGCGAGGTTAGTAAAGAACAAGTTTTATGGGAAGAATCCCAACACAGTGGAATAATTAATTGACCCAAAAGAAGGTGAGTTCAATACCTGGTTAAGGCAGTGGAAAACTTTCAGAGGGAAAATTAGCAGGAGATAACTGATAACTGACATCCATCAAACATGGCACGTGGAACTAGAACAGTCTACCCCAGTGATCGAAATAAAGGGTTCAGTTCGAAATTCCAACCCCCTGAAGAAGGCCGGAGCGTACAACGGCCGAAACGTTTTGACAAATATGGCGACAAAGATGAGGACAATAATCCGATTAATGTAAATACTGTACATAATACCTCATCTCAGAAATATAGACAGACTCTGGAATAATTAATTGTTTTCCCTTAATTTTTTTTTCCCTTTTCTATATTCAGTTCTAAGGAGACGGCTACAAGAGTCATGCAATTGAATCCAAACTAGAAACAACATGGCTGCCTAATAATGGTTAGCGATATAGTTTGGTTGCCATTACTAACGAGTAATAGGTTTCATGCTTACTCTGTTGCTACACATCTGGGCCTTTTAGACACTATAACTGTACTAAATGTTGACGCTAAGGAATCAGTTCATCCGGGAAAACATAATGAAGGTTTTGACCGCCACAGTATATACAGAGTGGGCCAAAAGTAGGCTTACAGTTATTTCATTATTTCTTTCACGTTTTAGATAACAACTCAGAAACAGAGCTAACTTCGCCTAAATATTATTTCAGGAAGATGGGGCCCCTCCCTATTATGCTTTGGCAGTAAGGGACTACCTTAACCAAAACTTTCCACAGCGTTGATGCGGAAAAATGAACAGCATCGAATGCCCACCACGTACAACTGACCAAACACCAATGGACTTTTTGAGGGAAATGGGTGGGGAGTATGAAAGAACAAATTTAGAGAGACCCCCCTCAAACACACACACACAGTGGACGAATTAAAAGAGCACATCTCAAGTATTTATTGAAATTAATGCATATCGGTATTTGTATCGTGCTGTGTGTCATAGTGTTCTGGAGAGGTTCGAGGAATGTTGCAATGTTGAAGGGGGACATTTTGAGCACTCAAGAGAATAAACTGTGCTAAAAAAAATCTAAGTGGTAAAAAATGTAGATAAACAGTTTTGAACAAATATAATTGTATTAAATATAAATGTAATAATATGTCTTTACAAAATGTGAAGTGCATATCTACTTAATCTAAGCCTACTTTTGGCCCACCCTCTATTTCAACAGGTGTGAGATTAAACTTGATGCATATTCGATATATAAATTTTATGTAGATATATGTGAAAATAGGAAGCCCATGGAAATGGCAACATAACACACACAAAAAGACATCCGAGGCACAGTCTAAGCGTATAAACCAGTGCATAGGAAGAAGGATACGGCGAAAATATCAAATTAAGGATTAATCAACTTAACTAAATTGAAATGCCTCGTTAGCAGAATAGATGTTTCCTAAATAAAAAAAATGCCACAGTAAGTCTTCCTAATCACATGTTTTTCCCAGTTTATCACGCGATGACGTCAGCAAATTCTTAATGCTGTGTTACAAACTTCACAACATTTGACGCTCAAACCTTCATTCCTCTATAAAAGTCCAAACCTTTCGAACATTGATTGAACCAGTCCTACTGTATGGATCGGAGACTTATGTGCTCGTCTTAAGAGACGATTGGAGGGAAGATATACAAATTTACTTAGAAAAATCCAGAACATCAGTTGGAGAACCCATGCAGCACTTAACACAATTTATGGAGAACTGAGACTAATCTCTCTTAAATAAAAACGATTACAGTTTGCTGGCCACTGCCACCGATCGAACAGGGAAATAGTCTCATATTTATTCCTATGGCATCCTTATGCAAGTGTCTTCTCACTAAAATTTACATTCCCAGGCACCATAGCTCGGGATTCATGGTTTGACATCGGGTATCTAGGGAGAGGAATGTGTGACCGAACAGCATGGAAAGGAATTGTCAATGGAGTTCCGACCAACAATAGGAACGTCCAAGGATGATGATGATGATGATATATCTGACTATTCTGAGACTGTTTCAACACAGGTAAAACAACACTTCCAAAATTAAATTCTCAGCCAGGTACAGATAATTTTCCCCGTGGCGGAACATTGTTTGGCACTAAAATAAATCTTGTTTAATGAATAATATTAGCCTGTCTGTTCGACACTGAAATCCGAAGCTGCACTGGCATAACGTTTATGTAAATTCAAGCAAAGTATCAAGTAATAGAAAAGGTTCATTAGAAACAAAGAAAAGAGTGCTGAACTATTATATAATATCAGTCCTATTTGCTGGACAATCTCCTTACAGATGAAGACGAGACTTGAAACAACAGGAATGCGGTTTTACAGATGGATGCGGAGAATACACTGGACGGGAAATGTCTACAACAACGAAGTTTGAGAAAAACTAGAAACTAAAAGGACCCTTATACACGCGTAAGGCAAGGATGCGTCTTCTCACCCGACCTGTTCAACCTATACAGCTAGGCAATACAGAGAGAATTGGAAACCCTACCTGGATTTAGCATTGGCGGCCACAATCTTAACAACATAAGATAAGTAGATGACACAGTAGTGATAGCAGACACGGAAATGAATTTACAAAATCTCTTACAGAAGGTAGTGATGGAGAGTAAGAAGGGACTACGCATAAACTACAAGAGGACGGAGTGCATGGTTGTCAGTAAGAGGATGGGACCGATCTGAAGGTCGAGAACACTAGCAGACGCGAAATTTAAAATACCTGGGAAGCGTTTTTACAGAGGACAGTAAGTGCGACACTGAGATCCATAGACGTATTCGGATGGCCAAGGACACATTCCAAAAGATGGGTAGATTACCGCGAGACAGGAGGATTTCTTTGGTAACAAAGAAAAGAATACTGAACTGTTACATGACATCTGTCCTTCTTTACGGGAGCGAATGTTGGACGATTTCCTCAAAGATGAAGAAAAGACTCGAGGCGACAGAGATGTGGTTCTACAGAAGGATGCTAAGGATATCATAGACCGAGCATGTGAGCAACGATGAAGTCTTAGAGAGGATGCAAACAAGGAGGAGGCTTATACTTAACATCAGGAAGAGGCAGCTGAAGTTTCTGGGGCACATAATGAGGAATGAAGGCCTGTAGAATATGATGTTCAAGGGTTGAATAGACGGAAAGACAGACAAGGGAAAACAAAGCGTGACATGCTTGATGGACTTAAGCAAGTGGATGACAACGTGGTCTGCAGGGGGAAGCAGAGTGAAGGAACTTGTTGAGATCTGCGAGGGATAGAGGGAGATGGAGAGCCATGATCGTCTACATCCTGAAAGGACATGACACATAAAAAGAAAGATACATAAAAGCAGGAAGAGACAGTTGAAATTTCTATGGCACATCATGAGGCAACAGGACTTTGGAAATTTGATACTCACAGGACAGATTGAAGGCAAGAGTGACAGAGGAAAGCAATGAATATCCTACCTAGCGAGCTAGAGTGAACGCAGTCCTTAACAAGGTTAAGGACAGATAACACAATGATAAAATTTATTAACAGGTGAGAAAGTTATGATCACAAAACGTGAGGAAAAGACACGGCTCATATAAGAAGAATCGTACCTTATATTAAAACTTGGTGATTAGAGGGAAGGAAAGCTTAAAATTTCACAGGAAGATATATAAATGTCTCAGAATATTGAAACATTGTCTAAGTACATATATATTCATAGTTTTTCCTTATTTCGGTTGCTTCTGTAATCAAGTTAAACGTAACATTGATAGACGAAAAGTGTACAAATATCGGATTATATTAAAATGGCATTTTAAAAAGTCTTATATTTTTCTTTCTGGTGTTGTTTTATTTTCAGACAGACGCTCACTTTAGAAGAAAGCTGATATATTTTACTTTTATACGCTTTATTTTTTAGCTGAAACGTACATAATTGTTTAATGTACTGTGACGTTGTTCACTTAATTCAATTTTTTTTTTCCCAAAGAAACTATTTTTGATGTCATTGTTATTAATACTTTGATAAAGTTGCTACTGTAATCGAGTGGCTCCAACCGAACGATAAAAAAAAAATAGGAGAGGACAGACAAGGACGGCAAAAAAAATCTATTTAAATTAGGAACCTCCAAAAATTTTGTCAAAAAGAGTCTACCATGATGGAAAAAGGTCCCAAATTAATAAAAAACAAAGTTTTGTCCACATAATGTTTATGCAGTTACTAAAAGGAAAGACCAAAATATTTTTTGGTCATTTGAAATTTTGGTTAAAAATCTTGTTTTTCATGAATCAGCGAGTGGGCCAAAGATTAGTACAGAGATTTTTAGCATCTCGTTTTGCCTTAAAAACACATTTTTAATTGGAAATTCTTGCAAAAATCAAATAACTGGTGGATTTTAATGAAAATGTTGGTAAAAATATTTTTTTCATCTTCTTACCCCCACTAATCAGAAAAGCTTTTAAATACTTTAAAAATAAGTTATATTAAGGAGTTTTTTTTTTCGATGAATAATGAATAATTTAAAAATGTTAATTGGAAAACATTATTAACTTTTAAATCTGTTAAAATTCTGTATTAATTTCAGCCTTTTAGATGATAGTATTATTAAGCGAAAACTATATTTACTAATCATAAATGGAAAAACTTAATACAAACTGTATAATTTTAAAAAATTTCTTGCATGTAAATAAAACTGTCAAATTTTGTAAGTACGGGCAACCATACAGGACATTATCAGAAAATAAGAATGATAAATATAATAAATTTAAAGTCAACATTCAAAAAAATTAATAAAACATTAGATTACGGAGAATATTTTTCTAAATTTCCAAGATTACTGAGTACTTAAAAATATATATAAAAAAAGACACTCACGCCATTTTCTTCAATTATATTTTATAGATAAAGTCTCCATAGAACAACATTAGACCGATAATCAGGCTGTCAACATGCCAGAACAGCTACTGTCCGGTTAATAGCAAAGCTACTGTAGGGTAAAAAAAAAAAAAAAACAAGCCTCTGCAAACGGAGTCTGGGAGGGATGATTAAATGGAGAAGAAACATGGTGTACTTGACAATAACAACATAAGATGCGTAGAGAGAATTGAAGGTCGACTCAGAGCTATTGCATAAGACTAAACATGGGACTAACAATTTCCTCTGAGTGCATGGTTGTCAGCAAAAGAGACTACCCAAGTTGTAAGCTACAAAATGGCGACGTCAAAATCATGACTGAGATGGTCGAATCTACTTGAACAAAAATTTCTTTCTTTCATTCTCTTTGTAGCTTTTCTTTCTCCTACTTCATTCTGTCTGTTGCTCTTGTAGAGGACCGTAGCGTGTTCCCAGAATTTGGGAAACGCTGTATTGGTGAGAGTTCACATAATGATATTAACTGAAATGAAAAGAAAAGTATTACCCCACTTCATCAACGCGAGGTGGTATAAGGCCCAAAACCTGAGGGAAAAGAGATTGAGGCAAAAGGTCACACAGTATTTATAGCCAGTTGAGAGAGACTCCTGGTGAAGGGTTAAGGAGGAGATAACTCCGACACTATTTATTTGTTTGTTCATTTGTTATTTACTAGAGCTGAAAGGGTTTCTACCACATCTTTCTCAACTTTATTTCTTCATGTTACTCGTTCTTTCTTGCTTGCTATATGCTTCACATTCTTTCTTTACCCCTGTCTACTTCCTTCTATTTAACTCATCGCATTCGGCCTTTTCTCTTCTTTCTTTCTTTCTTTCTTTCTTTCTTTCTTTCTTTCTTTCTTTCTTTTTGAGTATTCCTCCTCCTGTCCTGATGCGGCATTCACCCTGGGCGGATTGAGCCGGCTTCTTCCTGTTGTGAGAAGAAGATTCTTGGGATAAATTACAGAAGTAGGGTACCCAGGCCTACTCGGATAACGTTCTTGCTTGCCGCGGGGTTCCCACAGACGCAGAGACAGGAACGACCAGAAGCCGCCGGTTGCCGATGCAGACGCTCCTTGGATTTTCACCAGAGCCCTTGTTAGCCGGCGTGTGCGTCAGACCTGTCCACCTTGGGTGGCCCTACCAGGAACGAAGTTCCGGACGGCATAGCTCTGACACTACCGTTTACACCCCCCACCGACTGTGAGGTAAGGGTTGGACTTTGGGGGCTTACAGTACCAGGTGTTCCCAAGCGGTCCCCCATCTAAGTACTGACCTGGCTCTACGATGCTTAACTTCACATTCTTTCTTTACCCCTGTCTACTTCCTTCTATTTAACTCATCGCATTCGGCCTTTTCTCTTCTTTCTTTCTTTCTTTCTTTCTTTCTTTCTTTCTTTCTTTTTGAGTATTCCTCTTACATTCATATTTGCTTTCTTTGTTTTTCACATGTTTTCTGTCTTTTTACTTCTTATATCCAATCGCTTTTCATTGCTTCTAAATATTCTTAACTTGAATTTATTTTACATTTTTTTTTCAATTGACATTGCATTTCTTTTATTCACATCCACTTCAGTCTTTCCCTCAATTTTCCATCAAACTTTAAATCACTGAAATTGGTTATTGCTATTTACCTTTAAGCAAATCGATGTATCTTGAAACTGATCGATACAACTTATTTAAGCAAAACAAAAGAGGAAAAATGTAATATTCAAGCTTCGATTGGCTACATTATCACAAGAAAGACGTTTTAAGTCGTATAAAAACAAAGGTCTTGGCAAAGACAAGTAAAACTTCAGGAAGGGACAGGAAGACAGCCAGCATTTGTATCTAAAGAAAGACTTAGATATAGTTTTTAAAGAATTGAAAATTCGCCTCGTTTTTCTATTTTTGAACGAGGATCCTATGTATTCTGATAGCCTACCTCATTCATCTGGCAAGATTTTAGATGACAAGTTTTATGTGTTTTTTATGGGATGTCTACATATTCGTCAGGGATGCATATCTTACACAAGAAATATAAATTTTTAAGTATATAACCAACTAAAATAAACATATAAAGGTTTCCTCACGTACGTTTATTTTCCGACAAAGGATATTGTGAGAGTATCGAGTATCGTCTTTGCCTTGGAGGGTGGAAAACAATTCGCCATCCACAAGGTCGCGCACACGAGGAGCTTGAGGTGAAAATTGAGGATTGGGAAATTTGGAAGGGTACTTTCGAGAGCAGTTCATGAATCTTTAAAAATGGATCGTATATACATACATACATACGTTTCGGTCTAATAGACCATCTTCAGGACATATTCATAAAACATAATTAACTTAGACCATATACAATTCAACAATAGCAATACCAATCCAAACAGATAACTGAAATCTTGATATAGTCTATGTGCCATGTGTCTTTGAAGACATCTATGTATGAATTTATGACTTCAGCAACCATTTTTACCAGTGCTCATATTGCAATTTTTCTTTTATCATTTCATGTTTTTACCAGAGTTCATATTGCAACTTTTTTGTTATCATTGCTTATTATTGGTTCCCATATTGTATTTATTTCTATGCTTGGTCGGCTCAGGAGATTTTTGTGACCTAGCATATGTGCTGATTCCTTAATTTTCCAATGCTAGTCCCTGTGTATGATCTCAACATGATCCCAAGATATGATATGTGAAGGGGTTATCAGATAAAATACAAAGGATCTGCGGTCCATATAACATCAGGACAACCTTCAGAAGCTTGACGACACTTCGCAGATATCTCTCCCGAGTAAGACACCGCATAGAGGAGAACATGTACGTATCCTGTGCAGCTGCGGAAAGGAATATAAAGGAGAGAGAGGCCGCCCCCTCAACCTAAGGCTTCAAGAACACCAGAAAGCTGCAACACGAGGGGAAGTAGAAAAATCAGGCGTGGCTGACCACATATGGAGAGAGAAGGGAGATCACCGCCCTCTGTGGGATATGTTGAGATCATAGACAAGGAATACCATTGGAAAATTCGTAAACTTAAGGAATCAGCACATATGCTAGGCCACAAAAATCTCCTGAGCCGACCAAGCATAGAAATAAATACAATATGGGAACCAGTAATAAGGAGTGCCAGAGAAAAAGCAATGATAACAACAAAAGTTTCAATATGAACTCTGGTAAAAACATACAATGATAACAGCAAAATTGCAATATGAGCGCTGGTAAAAATGGTTGCTGAAGAGATTAGGTTTATAATACCCAGAAATTCATACACAGATGTCCTCAATGGCACAGTGGATAAAGGCGTTGGTTAGATCCAGTGACAGGACCCAAAGAGTGTGAGGTCAATACCCGGTTAAGGCAGTGGGGAGCTTTCAGAGGGAAAATTAACAGGAGTTAACTGATGACTGACATCCATCAAACATGGCACGTGGACCTAGAAAAGTCTACCCCAGTGAGCGAAATAAAGGGTTCAGTTCGACATTCCAACCACCTGAAGAAGACCGGAGCGTACAACGGCCGAAAACGTTGTGATAAATATAGCGACAAAGATGAGGACAATGGTCCGAATAATGCTTTGGCTTATTATGTTTTACGGCATAACAACTTCAATGGGTTATTTAATGCAGACAAGATTGTTAGGATAGGTGCGTATGAATAGAATATGTATTCTTTGAAAGAAATCATTTTCAGACCCAGCTTTCATTGACGTATTTTTCGTGAGTGAAATCTTTTTTTTGTTTTCTTTGGTAAAAATGTATTGTTGGTAATATTTTTTCAAAAATGTATTGCTGGTAATTGTATTATAAAATTCTTCTTTTTTTTGACTTTCATAAGGTTTTGGCCCAGGTTTGTGTGGTTAAATTATTCCTTATAGTTGTGGCCCTAACAGGTGTTATCCCGCTGGTCAGGGTGGATCTGCGAGCGGCAGTAATTAAGAGGTGGTTTCACACTCCTCAAAAACGCCCCATCAGATATATTGCTGCCGGATGTAGTTTATCGTCATACACAGGACGAAGAACCGTTGAGCATGAAAAACTGAAATCAGATGCCCATAATGACCTTGATGTTAAATGCCCTGAGAATATTGCCAAGGAATTTGATATAATCTGTAATAAATGTGGCTGCGTCTAAATTGGTCAAGATTTTTAAAAAAAAATGTCAAAGATACAACGTATCGAAAGATCAACACAATATATGTGCAACAATAAAAAAGAAAATGAATGAGTCCAGACGTGAAAATGTTAAAGTTGTCATCTAGTCTGTTTCATGAAATGGCGACTCGTGGAGAAGAAATGGTCTCAACAGAACTTCGTTTTCACAAACGGAATACGAACGTAATGACGATGGTTCGCCCCTATGTCTATGGTATGGCCATACCATAGACCATACCATAGCTGCAAATATCTGAAGTGTTCGAACAAGGGAATATATCTCGTCAGAATATTTCCGATGGAAATAGCGATAAGCTTGCCACGTTGTTGCAATGTGAGAGGGGTTTTAAGGTAGAAAATAATTCATCTTCTACAAGTCCGCGTGAAAGATTCTGAACTCTGTCAATGCTAGAAAGAGGGGATTGGGCAATTTCAGTCCATATCTGTCTATATTTCTGAGTTGAGGTATTGTAATTATTTACATTATTGCCATTCACGACGGTCCGGCCGTTGTACGCTCCGGCCTTCTTCATGATCTGTCTATATTTCTGAGATGAGGTATTGTAATTATTTTCATTATTTACGTTGTTCGGACTGTTATCCTCATCTTTATTGCCATGTTCACAAGATTCCGGCCGTTGTACGCCCCGGCCTTCTTCCGGATCCGTCTATATTTCTGAGGTGAGGTATTCTAATTATTTACATTACTTACATTGTTTGGAATGTTGTCCAATCTTTATTGCCATATTCACGACGTTTCGGACGTCGAACGCTTTAACCTTCTTCAGGCGATTGGAATTCCGAATTGAACACTTTATTTCGTCCGGGGTATGTTGTTCTAGTTCCCGTGCCATGTCTCTTCCGGATATCTCAGTTATTTCCCTTTAACTTAATTCTCCAACGTTTTCACCGCTGAGGTATCCATATATTGAACTCACAACTCTTTTTGTCAAGTCACTGGATCCAACCAACCTTTTTATATAATGGGTCATGTGTCCTTGAGGATGAAATAGAAGATTCGAAATTCCAGTCAGCTGAGGAAGGCGGAAGCGTATAACGACCGAAACGTCGTAAATATGAGGCCAACAGTCCGAACAATGTAAATAATGCAAATAATTTCAGTTCAGTTGTTTTTGTTTAGCTACATAGCAACCTCTATTGACTATTTAATGCAGAAGTCTAAATATTCTGGATGTAAATATATATATATATATATATATATATATATATTCATTAAAGATAATGTTTTTAGTGATAGAAGTTTTAATAATTAACCCATAGACAGTGGTAGAAGAGATGGATTCATACCTTTCCCAGGTGCATTTGCGCCATTACACCACCCACACATCTAAGTTTAAGGCACCTGTTATTCCCAAGTGGTAAGTTATCTAGGGAATGACTAGGCTCAACATTGCTTAACTTCGGTGCTCGAACGAGAACCGGTGTTTCAAAGCGATATGTCTGTAAGCTTTTCAGCGCAGATATGGCAGAATAGATATGATTACTCCACCATATTGTAGGTTCTATAACAAATGGCGCAATCTCCGTTGTTCATAACAAGGAGCCGTACGGTATTTGTCTCTAATTGGGCGAGGAAAGAAATTTACTTTTCTTTGCCGTCTGTAACCTTTTGTAGCGTTAACTCTGGATTTCCTATTAACGCCTTCGGATACAAAAGAAACTTTTAACCTTGGCTAATAGAATTGCCTCCGGCCTTTTGTATTGTTAGCGCTCGTTATCAGTTTACGTGATTGCAACTCAAATCTAAAACAACATTATCCCTGACATAATTCAACGGAGGTAATATCTAAGTGATATTCAGTTTATAAATATCTTTCTCCTCTCTTTTTTCTCTCACACGCAATCTTATATATATATATATATATATATATATATATATATATATATATATATATATATGTTTAAATAAATTTCTTGTTGTACAAAACTTTATAATAACAAGGAACAAGCGCAATTTCTTATTTAAATTTAAATTGCAAGACATGTTTTTTTGTTATTAAATTTAATGCCTTGTAATTTAAATTTAAATAAGAAATTATGCTGATTCCTTGCTCTCTCTCTCTATCTATCTATATATATATATATATATATATATATATATATATATATATATATATATATATATGTATGTATCATATGGGCGCGTGA